GTCACAGTCAAAAAAAAAAAAACATTCCAAATGCAATCCGCAGCTCACAGGGTCACGCCATGGATTCAACTCAGAAGCTGGGCGACGAAACTATATCCAGTCTACAAATGGAGCAAAAATGCATCGGCCAATGTCCGGCAGAAGCAAACAAAAAATTTGCCTCTGTTTCGAACCCTGCCGCTTCCTAGCGTCCATTTTGACCGGAACTCTACCTAGAGTGTATTTATTGATAGTCGGCTCTGTGGCTAAGTCGACTCGAATGCTTCGTAATGCCGGGATGCCGGGTTCGATCCCAGCTGCACCCCATGGACCTTGCATTGGTTTCGACAGTGGTATCAAGAAAGCCGACCGTCCAGGTAGCAATGGCAAACTACTGGACGTAAATTTGCCTAGAAATACCACACAACAGCCAGGGGCTGTTGGGGTTGGTTCTGCAACGTCCTGTAAAGAATAGCCAACTAACCTATATTTATTGATATATCAACCATATTAACCATTTAATTTTTTTTATGGATCAGTAAATTGTATTGTTCTGAAAAGCAATTTATTTATTTTCATTTCTAACGGCATTACCTTCTTGCCTATCAGATCAGTTTGTCATTAGTTTGGTTTTTCGTTTATAAGTTTCTGAGACTTGTGCCTGGGGGGATTTTCACCGAATTGTGGCATCTTGCAACACATAGTGTTTATCACTCGTCGTACGGTGCTAGTGGGGTTGAACGTCACTCACTCCCGTGTGAGGAGCGAGACTGATTTTCTAGAGACAGCCAGCCAATGGAAAACGCGCTAAGAACAATATTTCAGGGCAAGACCAGTCAGGCATATTTTACAGAACACGATTTACAGCCAAACTCAAAACTCAGTGATTTGACAACCAGTAACTTTTCCATAATATAACCGAAATGGGCGAAAAGTAATCCTCTACGGCCCTGGCTGATAATCAGTCAGTCAATCAATCAATCATTAGCCCCGAAAGAGACGATTGGAGTGTTGTGGAACCCGTGCCCTATCAGGAGGAGTCACTCTGCCAACTGTGTCTTGATAAGGACTAATGCTTATTGGAAACGACACTACACTACACTATGCGAACTACAGTAGGAGCCTTTTGAGGCAGCAAGGGACGTGAGCCAGAAATCCCGAATTTGATTTCAAATAGCGCTGTTAATATGAAGAATGGGCATTAGAAAGACGCTGAACACAAAAATCAGGAAGAATTACCATATAAAGATTGCAATTCTAAACACACATTTGCAAAAGCTGGTTGCGCTTCCACATACGTATAGCTCTCTCATAAGCTGGTACACTTTCAAAGGCTGGTTGCGCCATCGAATACCTCCTCCTTTCCTCTCTCCCAAGCCAGTCTGTCAGTTGGGTATTCACGACAATTTTGTGCCCCGGAGAGTGTTTGAACTTCGGAGTATCTTGACGATAGATGAGTAAACCCAAGTCATTGGTGGTTCGGTGACAGAAAACACATATTACACAAATGCCGTCCAAGTTACAAAACAGTCGTAATTTGTAAACAGTGAATAATTTAGTACACTGTGCCTTTGTTAACACATTGCGAATATGTTAATACAGAGTATTTAAGTTAACATTCAATTTCTAAGTTAGTACACAATGCCTAAATTAGTACACAGTGCCCAAATTAGTCACAGCACATATATTAGTAAACAGTGGTGGTATTGGTAAACAGTGCCTATGTTAATACACAGTGCCTAAAATAGTACACAATGCGTAAGTTAGTACACAGTGCCTAAAATAGTCTCTCTCTCGGACCCTATTCCACGCTCTTAGGCGTATAGGGCATAGAGTGCTAGACTTATATTTTTATAGACCGATCCTAATGGGTCAAGGGTTATGTTAGGTTATATTATTATTTGCATATGTTGGCATCTCATTTGTATGTTCAAACAGGAAAACTAAAACATTACCATAAACATTTCTAAATGATAGCGTAACAGCTGCCCTTTTTACATCGGTTGTTTTCAAATGTTAGAACGTTCACTGAACTGTAATAATTTTGTTCTTGTGTATGAAACTGAACGATAATTCATGGACAGTGATGTTATTTGCTTCTAACGATTAGAGACAGGAGCTCTTGACTTTATGATGCTCGGATCTGGTTTTTCTAATCTTTAAAGTAAGCTATGTTGGTACCTTTCCGTCTTTCCAGACGATTATATTGTGCTGTGCTAATGAGCATTAAATGAAAGCTATGGCGATGGCGAGTATGACTAGCAAGATCCGCTCGCCAAAGTAAGTTATAAATCTGAACCTAATAAACGAGGTGGAAGAATTTATATACCTCAGAAATAAAGTTACTGCAGATGGGGATTCTGAGAAAGTTGTAGCATCAACAGTCAACAAAGCAAACCGACCATTTTCCATGCCTAACAATGTAAAGCGATAAATACCTGGATGGCCCGACTACATGGATGGGTTGAGGGAGGGGAACATGAACATTGCACTGATCTGTGTCTCTGGTTATCGTGTGAAATGCCGAAATATTACAACCTACGCTTATGCACGGGATGAAGACGAAAGAGATTTGGGGCAAACGGTTAAACCATTTGGCCACGGACAGTCCATGAGATAAAAGAAGATAGAATGAAGGAAGGAATACAAATATTGCCTATAATAAGTAACTTGTCTGCCTACATTGGTGTATTTAATTATGTAGGGAGCGAGATTATTAAAGTCAGCTGTAAACACTTCCCAAAGCCTAGTGGGAACACAAGAAGGCATATCTGATATGTTTACAATCAATACAGGGTTTAGGCAGGGCTGTTTGCTATCTCCTCTCTAATTTAATATATACATAGAATATCATAGGAAGCCAGCTTTAAAGCAGTCGATCAAGAAAATTTAGACAAGAAGGAACTTTACTTTCCGGAAGTAGAATTAGATGCGATATAATCAAAGAGGTACTTTTTGTGGTCGATCAGCAGCTGTTCTAAAATGAGGAGAGTAGATTGCAAGACCATTTGAACAGGCTAAGATCAACATGCAGAAGATAACATGAAAATAAATACTAATATAACTGAAGTAATACAGGTCAGCAGAATTCATAGTCCGCTAAATGCAGGGTTGAATGGTTGCTACTTGTCTGAAGCAAGTTACAGCATGTAAATATCTAGGAAGTATATTAGTGAAGAACGGGAGAATAGATCCGGAAAAGAAACAAGATACCAACGAGCCAGTGCACTTATATACCAACTGACACCGTTATTACAACATCCAAACATAAGTATGAGTGCCAAGAAACAGATTATAAACAGTATATTCATACTTACATTGTGCTACCAGTGCCAGACTTGGACATTATCATAGGATAACTTTCGTAAAATTAACAGTTGAAATGAGATGCGTGAGAAAAGCTGCCAACTTAACCATCCGAGACAAAGTTAGAAATTATATTATGAGACAGACTGCAGGAACAACACAATGCAGCTAATTAATTGGGAAACAGAAGACCAAATGGTTTGGTTATGTAGTAAAAATGCACCCAGAACAACTACCAAAGCACTACACATGAAACTATCTGAGTGAAAGCAAGGTCACCCGAATATAATATTAATTGATGGCATTAGAGACCTTCTACATCGACAAGGAATAAAAATAGCCATTGTAGCCCATCAAGCAACGGATCGCCCTTTGTTGTCCCTGCGCCGCTTAACGACAGAAGTGGAAATTGATGTATCATCATCATCATCAACAATTTCCACTTCTCTCGTAAAGCAGCGTAGGGAAGAACAATTTGCGAACAACTCTGGTCTTCACTTCTTGATGCGCACGTTTATAGGTGCTCACAGTCGGATTGTTTCTATACCAAAAATCAACCACAAATTCTACCAGATGTCAAACGTCATGTTAAAAAATTCACATTATGGCATTACGATTACATATTTGTTTACAAAATTTTAGTAATATGGGTCAACAAATGGTTGCTGAGTAATAGAATTGTTTAAATGGGGACATAATTTGTAATCAGGCTATTGTAGGTCAATACAGTGAGACCGTCAGCCAGTAAGAAATTAGGTAAGTTATTTAGTAAATGGCTAGGTACGAAAATAAGTTCTTCTTCTTCTTCTTCTTTTTCTTCTTCTTCTTCTTCTTTTTCTTCTTCTTCTTCTTCTTCTTCTTCTTCTTCTTCTTCTTCTTCTTCTTCTTCTTCTTCTTCTTCTTCTTCTTCTTCTTCTTCTTCTTCTTCTTCGTCTTCTTCTTCTTCTTCTTCTTCTTCTTCTTCTTCTTCTTCTTCTTCTTCTTCTTCTTCTTCTTCTTCTTCTTCTTCTTCTTCTTCTTCTTCTTCTTCGTCTTCTTCTCCTCCTCCTTCTTCTTCTACTTCTTCAATACATGACTAGAGAAGAAGAAGAAACAGATGAAGACTCCAACTGTTTGTCGGTCTGCCTTTTAATTATCTCTCTTTCGTCTTCTTGATAGCCCTGTGGACTACTTCTGTTCAACTCTTTTATGTACGCAGCTTTTGTCTCTCTGTTATCTGTCATTCTCTCTATACACACTTGCCACTGGGGTCTATATAACCCCACGATGCTAGTAATTTGCTGCGATTTAAGAATATGAATTGTGTTGTTGCTTTGCACTCTCCATTCTGCGCTGTTTGCATCACTGATGGGGCCAAAGAGTCATCGTAAAACTGTCTGAAATGTTTATAATAAGGTTTCGTCTCTTGTTATAGCATTTTTAATTTTGGAGCTATTATTTTTTTTTTTTTTTTTTTTATTGGTGTTCTGTGTGTCATTTTTATATCATAAAGAAATCACACAAATGTTAATCAGTTCAAAAAATGTATAAAAAGTTCAAACATACACTTTTGGGCACCCTGTATGAAATAGAATTTAAACATAAATTCAACCTAATTTAACAGTTTACTTGTAATTGTTATGTTTCACGTGTAACAGGTGTGTTATTACGAAGAGATCTGTGTCTATGTTTGAGCGCAGTGTTTTCCTCCTACAGTTCTTGTTGATTTTGTTTACATGGACAAGATGATCAAGTCAACCACTGTACTAATGCTCGTTGTAGGTGCCGTCATCGCAGCACCGGTAGTCGAGGTATGTTAGTTAATTGTCAGTTGTTTTGTTTCTTTTTTATGCCAGACGGTTTCATCACGCGTGACTTAATGTCCTCCCGCATGTAGCTTTGAATGTTTCTTTATGGTAGTGGTGGCAGCGATGTGGTGGTGGTATGGTAATATTAGTAGCCTGATAATGTTAATGGTAATGTAGCAATAGCACCACTACACGTAGTAGTGGTTATGTTAGTAAAAGTGGTGGTAGCAACAGTAGTAGCAGTAGTAGTTGGCTTCGTCGTAATATTAGTAGATAGTGATAGTGGTGGTGGTAGTGGTAGTGGTAGTGGTGGTGGTGGCAGTAGCAGTAGAATGGTGGTGCTGATGGTAAAGTGGTGGTTTTGTATTGTAATGGTTGCAGGACAGTATTAGTTTAGTAATAGAGTCGATGGTAGAAGTAGAATTGTGCGGGTGGTAGTAGTCATAGTAGTAGTATTTATATCTGTAGTAGTAGCAGCAGCAGCAGTGGTTGTTGTTGTTGTCGTTATTATTTACGCTATTGTCGTATGGTAGTGGTAGTGGTAGCAGTACTGTGGTTTTTGGGGAGCAGTAATAGTATGGTGGTGGTGATAATAGTAGTAGTGTGGTGGTGGTAGTAGTAGTAGGAGCATCAGTAGCAGTGGTGGTGGTAGCAATAGTAGAAGAAGTTGTGGTGGTGTTGCTATTAACTGTTTTGTGGTGGTGGTAGTAATGTGGTGGTGGTAGTAATTTTTGTTGGTTTAAATGTTGCATGTGGCATTTATGCGCATTTCGTTTGTCATTGATGTTAGTGGCTCCCAAAGTAGGGGTTGCAGAGAAGCTATCGAACTGTCAGAGTGTTTTTCGTGTTTTGAGGATCGTGGTAAGGGTCTTACCCCTTGAATACCTACCTGAATGTATCTGCTAAAGGCAGTAACGTTTAAAAAGTCTCGTTTGCCGTGTGCAAGAAT